TTGGCGACGCGCGGGGGGGGGGCGTATTGTGGAACCCGGCCTTGGGGCGGCAGGGAGAGTAAATCCGGCCCTGAGCCCGGTCACCTGAGTATGGAAGGGTTGGCCCGCTTGTCAGGTTTTTTTCTTCTGTCTATAACCCGGCTGGGGTCCCTGCAGTGTCTATAACTTGTCCTGATCATTATTGTCACCAGGACTGAAAGTGATGGGGAAAATAGAAAATTTGGAATTGCCAATGGGGACTCCTGTACCAGTGACCACTGTCTAAAACTGCCCCACACACTGTAATACTTTCTTCATTCAAGCTGAAGGAAGAATATATATCCGATTACTCCATCAATGCTTACGAGCGCTGATCGAGGACTCACCTGCTGTCTTCATCACATTCTGACACTGGCCCCTGTCAGGATACATAGGCTGCTCGTTCGATCAGCTGACAGAGGGATGCTGGCCAAATGGGTGCCACGGCGGCACCCCGTGTGTTTTTTACTTTCGGCCAAATTCATAAAGTGTACGGCCAGCTTAGGAGGGGATCTGGGAAATGGAAATGCGTTCTACATTTACTAGGAGAAAACTATTAATATGACCCAGAACACAAGAATTCCACCTAATAGTGAAACTTCACCATCCAGCGTCACCATCCAGCGTCACCTTCCTTCCTTCTCTTTCCCAGGTATCCTTATTTCTCACGAGACGGGTTGATTAATGCGATCTGCGTTGACAGCGAACCAAAAGTCATTCGGAGGTTGCGGCAACAGGTGAAGAAAGGGTGAGTGACTACAGCAGACCGAGGGCTGCAAGCAATTGGGGATGAACATAGTTCATTCTACATATATCTGAGTCATAAGAGTTAGCAATCTTTGTATAGCGGAACTATTACAACTCTAAGGCAGAGCCAGCTGTACCCGCCCCCTCACTCGTCTGTTCCGCCAGTTAGCGATGGAGGATCGGAGCGGGGAGCGGGGAATCCAGCCCCATCCCCTGTCACAGCAGAGAGCCGTGACAGGATCGAGAGGAAAAAAAATGGCTTCCTGCTGGTCTGATGGCCTCACCAGCATTTCCTTTGGTGGTGGTGGTGGTGGTGGGGGGTGGCAGGCATCCTTCCAGGACTGAACAGCACTCTCTTCATGACTCTAATAATGCGAGAGCCCCTCAGTCCTGGAGTTCGATGAGCCCAGCCTGTGTGATGACGTGCCTCCCAGGGAGGCGTGTAGACAACAACAAATGTTGTTCCACTTTAAAATGAATGTTTTGTGGACTAAATAGTGTGGCCCAGTATCATGTACCTGGATGGAGACCAAGCTGGGAAGGGGGCCACCTGTGCACCTCTCGCCCTACACCTCTGGAGGTGGTGACAGAGGATGTAAGGACGTGGAGAGGCACAGGCACCTGTACTGATGGCAGGACAAGATCCGTAGAGATGCTTGAGAGCGTTGAACAGGCGGCTGAGTTTGCAGGACCAGGATGACACCAGAACCACTAGGCACTGGTGCAGATGTCTGGCAAGTACCTGGTGAAGCACTGGTTGCGTGAGTTGGCTCAGAGTGGAGGCAGTTTGAAGCTGAGGTGACGCACGGGAAAGCAGAATCTCGAAGTGCCAAATGGTAGGTCAGAAGCGAGGTCAAGGATCATAAGCCAGGGTCATGCACAGGAAAGCAGAGAGACAAGGTACCAAATCTTAGAAGGAAGTGGAGTCAATGGCCACTAGGTGAGTTCATACTCAGGAACGAGCTGACAACCAGTAAGCAACTTGCTCATAGCTTCTGTCTGTTTATATAAGCAGAGTGTGCCTGCTACTGAGCGTGGCCCAGTGCGCTAATGTGCATGTTCCAGTGCGTGCACGTCTATGCAACAATGCACGTTTGCCCGGGACCTTTAGCACAGGATTGTGCGCAGATGTACACGCACGTCTTTGAGCTGGAACCGGCTTTGCTGGTGAGTCCTACACCCAGCCCGGTGTCTTTTGCTAACCTGCTCAACCACTTCCACTTTCAGTCTTGGCACCATGAAACAAGAATTACAAGGTTTGTAATTCTCCCCAGTTCCGATACCAGTTCAGATACCGGTGCCGATACCTGGGATCTTCATGAGAACTAGCAGGGTTGCAGAGGTTGCAGCTGCCACTGGGCTCTGTCACTCCACCACTGTCCTGAAATCATTAGTCTGTATTGTTTTAGAAAAACTGTCACATGACACTAAACAATAATGTATCAGTACTTGGACAAGTATCGGTACTCGTACTCGGTCTGGAAAAATGGTATCAGGGATGCACAAATCCCAGGAGCCCCATAGCCAATACTCCTTAAAAATGACAGCTGCCTCCTAGCTGTTAAATTTTTCTCTAGTTTAGTCCTGGAGTTGGAAAAGTTTCAGCACTTGTGCTTGTACCAAGTACGGTACTTGAACGGTATCTGAACATCCCTCATTTTTATCTATGGGGGGAGCATGGTGGAAGGAATCAGGCCCCAACGTCTTATATGTTTTGAATGCTTCAACAGTGCCATAATTCCCAGCTCTGTTCCTGTCCACCTGGGAGTTTTGGGTGACCCTGCCAATCTTGGTGTGTTCCATCTCCTCCTGTTACATTTTGCATAAGAATAGGATGTTTGTACTCGCCATCAAATTCTTTTCTTGAAGTCCATTGAGGGGCACAGGAAGCCTTTCACCTTTTCGGTTACGCTATCAAAGCAGTACCAAGAGCTTGATCATAAACACACAGAGGGGTGGGACTGATGTTCCTCAATGTGTTCCAAGAAAGAGATTTTATGGCGAGTATAAAAATCCTTTTTCTTTTTCTCGACCACCGAGAGACACAGGAAGTCATTCACCTTCGGTACTCCTAAAGAGACAAAGAAAACACAAAACAATGGTGAGAGATACTATTAGGCAAATATGTGATATACAGCTACCCATGGATCCCTGGACATGTTTATTCCACCTTACAGCAGACTCGGTCGGGGGGTACAAGAAATCTCTAACACCCCATATGCTGAACGCAGCCAAATCACTGTTCCCGACATACTGGGGAACAGCTGAAATCCCCTTCATCTCAGAATGGTTTGTCAGACTGGATTCGACCAGGTGGATGGTTGAACTAGTGATGATGAAGCAAGATAAATATGCGTTAGGCCTTTAAAATATAGGGAAAGTGGCAAGAATTTAAAGCATCAGAGGTATACTGCCCTTCTGCAAATTAAAAAAGGGAACGATCAAGGAATAAGGAATATTAGTCAACCATACGTAAAGGGAAAATATAAAAGGGAGCAAGAATAGGAAGAGATGCCATAGAAAAGAAGACAATATTAAAGGAGAACTATGGGGTTAAGGTTTTTCCCCATAGTTCTCCTCAGAGTCACGGGAGGACACAAACTAGCGTCCTCCCGTCACCCTAGGCTCAGTATATAGGGAGCTACAGCTTGCGGTATACTGAGACGCCGCGGCTGAAGCGGATCCCGACAATTGTGCCGGGATCCGCCCAGCTGCGTGACTGACAGCTGGCTCCTCCTATCTAGAGGCAGAACCAGCTGTACCCGCCCCCGTCCGTTCCGCTAGTCAGCGCTGGAGGATCGGAGCGGGGGGAGGGGGGAATCCAAGAGAAAAAGAGAGGAAAAAAAGAAAAGGCTAGTTGCACTCCTTACCGGTATGACCCCGTGATCGGGGAGGGGTGCTCGGAATGACTGCGGATGGCGCCGCCAAATACAGATAATTGCAGAAACGTCACCAGCACACCAAATCCTTATAGGATCAAAGTTCGTAGATTTTATTGCAAACTCATGTCCGTTACACAAGCGCTTTCGGGGCCACACAGGGTCCCTTCATCAGGCATAGCAATGAGGCTCGGAGCGGGGGGAGGGGGGAATCCAGCCCCTCCCCTGTCACGGCTCTGTGCCGTGACAGGATCGAGAAGTGAGCGAACACCGGTATGTGTTCGCTCACTTCCCGATCTACTGAGCCGACCTGTGACAGTCTCATTGTCACAGGTCGGCTAGAACTATGAGGTGAGTGGAAAGCACTCCCCTCATAGTTCTCCTTTAAAGTAAAAACTTGTAAATAGTAGAGCCTTGGGAAAAGAAGAAAAAAGAAAATGAAGACTTAAAAAAGAAAAAGAAAACACAAAGCAAAACTGGGGACTACCTGCAGCTCAAAGAGCCACCTGAAGGACTTTACATGAAATGAGGCCTGAACTTCCACCTGGTAGAACTTTGAGAGCGTGTGAACAAAAGACTAAATTGCAGCCTTGCAGGTTTGAGAAGCAGTAGCCTGATGCAGGAAAGGCCAGAAAGCACTCGCAGGTCTAGTAGAGTGTGCGCCTTGACGGAAAGTGGTGGAGCCCAATACTTGAGACCATACATTTGGTCTGCCTGAGCCACCTAGAGATGGTGGAATAAGAAGCTGGTGCACCCTTGTGGGGACCATCTGGGCTGACGGAAAGGAATCGGTCTTCCAGAAAGAAGCCGTGGCTGAGAGATAAACCCTCACAGCCAAAGAATGGAAAGAAATTTCCTGTTGGTGAACCGGAGCCAGCCAGGTTGAGGACAAAGGCCAGAACTACCTTAGAAAGGTCCTGGACCAGACCAGAAAATGTCATTTACAGGATAAGGTAACAAGTTCAGATACTGGCTCCGCCCCAAAAGGAGTGACGCATGCGTTCCCTGGGTGGAATGCGGAAGTCGGCCGGCATTCAGTTCCGGCCACTTCCGAAGCTGGCGGGGTATTTAAACTCGTCGGGAGGCTGACACGGTTTTCCACGATCATGGACGCAGCTCCCTGCAGCCCCCCGACACCTCTACCTCCTGGGAACCCTGCTGGACGACCTTAGCAACCTGGATGCTCTGGGACCTCACACTCAACCGGAACCCCTTCTGTCCAGTCCGGAACTTCATAACCCCCTCAAGGGGATTCAGCAGCCTCTTGTTTATCTGCTCATTGGCTGATGCCATCATATGGGAATTTTTTTTTTTTCCATTTTAAAATTTTGTTTTATTGAGCATAACAAAAGTATAGAACATACAGGGTGATCAAACATATCACATCACATCGGTCAAGCACAGTGCTGTCTTACTGCCAAGCAGCTTATTTCACATCACAGCATAATACAATAAGGAACACGTAGTCAGTAGCGCCTACTGAATTCGGCCTCAGGTCTAGACCGCGAGGACAACTTGTATAGTACTTATGGACACCAGGATGATTGTGTAAAATTATCGACTGGGCAGATCAGTGACCAATGCCCAGCCGTCTATAAGTTTGACCTGTGGTAGCCAACATGACAGTAAGTACAGAGACACACACAATGGGGTAACAAAAACACTGAGAGACAGGGGTCCATCATATGGGAATTGATCTGACTAATGGGACTGTATCATTACAATCGATAATTCCAGAGCTGCCATTTGACATCCCCTCTAACTGGGGCTATTTCTATAGATACTATAAAGTACACTGTCGGGGGTGTGGAATTCCTATCGACCGACGCCCGGGACAAGCAGTTTCGGGCGAGTAGTTTTTTTCTACATTTAGCCCGGCTGTGGGGCTAAATGTAGTATGGGAGCCGTTTTGTACAAGTGATTTTAAACAGCTGTACAGCCATCCAAAAATCACTCGTAACCTGCCTGAATCACGCTTCTCCTCCCCCCTCCCCTCTCTCTATCTCCAGCAGCTGGCCGGCCATGTACTGCTCCTGGCTGCCTGTGTCTCTGCACGTGGGCTTCCTTTTTGCCGTAGTCTTCGGGGTCCCCCCCTCTTGTGGGGGATTGATGACCACGGCAAATTAGGTTCCAGAGCACGGGGCAAGGCAGAAAACGGTTCTCTACTCTGCTCCATATGTGCAGTGACACAGCAATGCAGCCATCCTGTCACAGGAGAAATAGCGCAGCGCTGTGCTAGAACTCCTGTGTTGGAGGTGACAGGGTCAATAAAGAGAACCTGTCACCTCCTAAAGCTATCACACAAGGCCTTGTTACCCTTGTGTGATAGCAATAAAGTCAAGTAAAAAAAAAAAAAGAGAAAAATAAAATATATAACACTTAAAAATGTAAACATTAAATTGGAAAAAATAATAAAAATGTAAATACATAAAAATAGAAGAAAAAAAAGGCGATAAAGTAAAAAATAAATAATGAAAAAAAAGTATTACACAGCAAAAAAAAAATTTTTTTTTAAAAATCTGTAAAAATTAAAACCAATCCCTAACATCTGCATGTGAATAAACGCATACATGGTGCATTGTGTGAGTGGAGTGGGCGATCCGTTACCACACGGCAATCGTGCACAAAACCGTGTGGATGGCCGGGCGGAATCTCACACACCGCCGATCACGCTGGCAGTGCCATTATTGTCTAACGGCACCCCAGTCGCACAGGGCAGATTGCGCAGTTTCCCGCCGCAATAACGCCCGTGCAATCGCACATAATCGCGATTGAAAACATTCAGAGATTACCACGCACATGTAACCCCATTGAAATCAATGAGGCCGCAAGGCAACCGTACACGGCCTCGCGCCAAGTCTGCAACCGCCCCAAACGGTAAATTCACTTTCCCAAGTAATTTGGAAAAATGGAATTACCCGCACAAATCTGGTCCAGACACCATTTCCCTCCCCCGCTATACTTACCTTTCAGGGAACGGTCCTTTCCATCCGCCAGTATGGGTGTACTACCCTGTTTCCCCGAAAATAAGACCTAGTACTATTTTTGGGAATTGGTAAAATATAAGACCTACCCCGAAAATAAGACCTAGTTGTGACCATTCCCAGGGCCGGTGGTGGCATAAGGGGGAACTTGAAGAGCCGCGGGAGAGAATCAGCTGTGCCAACGAAGCGAGGCGGCAGTGGAGGGAGCAGAGCCGCATAAGCCTATGCCTCCTCTATAGCGCCGGCTCCTGTCACAGGCGGAGTGATACCAAATGCACTCCGCCTGTGAGGAATCCATAGTGAAAGTGCGCTTCACTCATTCTGGCCAGCGATTGGTTAGCAAATTGCTCTACGCACAGGGCGTGTGCCGCTGGTCCCCGCCGCAATAACGCCCGTGCAATCGCACATAATCGCGATTGAAAACATTCAGAGATTACCACGCACATGTAACCCCATTGAAATCAATGAGGCCGCAAGGCAACCGTACACGGCCTCGCGCCAAGTCTGCAACCGCCCCAAACGGTAAATTCACTTTCCCAAGTAATTTGGAAAAATGGAATTACCCGCACAAATCTGGTCCAGACACCATTTCCCTCCCCCGCTATACTTACCTTTCAGGGAACGGTCCTTTCCATCCGCCAGTATGGGTGTACTACCCTGTTTCCCCGAAAATAAGACCTAGTACTATTTTTGGGAATTGGTAAAATATAAGACCTACCCCGAAAATAAGACCTAGTTGTGACCATTCCCAGGGCCGGTGGTGGCATAAGGGGGAACTTGAAGAGCCGCGGGAGAGAATCAGCTGTGCCAACGAAGCGAGGCGGCAGTGGAGGGAGCAGAGCCGCATAAGCCTATGCCTCCTCTATAGCGCCGGCTCCTGTCACAGGCGGAGTGATACCAAATGCACTCCGCCTGTGAGGAATCCATAGTGAAAGTGCGCTTCACTCATTCTGGCCAGCGATTGGTTAGCAAATTGCTCTTGGAAAGCTACGGCACCCCCTGATTGCCCTTATCACCCTATTTTTGTACATGAATACATGTAGATTTTTCTACATGAAAAAGTGTGGATTGTTGTACGTTAAAAAAAAAAAAAAATAAGACCTAGTGTGTCTTTTTTTAGCCCCAAAAAATATAAGACAGTGTCTTATTTTCAGGGAAACACGGTATCTGTACCTGTGCCATTGTAATCTGAATTTCGCTCTCAAAATTCAAGCACTCGTTGGTCAGCGCAGTCATCTGACGGCACTGACCAACGAGAAGCTCTTCTTGGCATTGCTAAATACGGTTATGGTTAAATAGTTTTTTAGGACCAGGCCCGGATTTTCCACAAGGCCACCGAGGCCCGGCCTCGGGGCGGCAGCGGTGACCTTGTGGGGAAGTTGCGGGCGCCGGTGTGAGGTGTCCGGC